GCCTGACCAGAGCGAGAGCTCAACGGTGGGCGACACGGACGTCGGCCTCGCCGGAGCGAGAGCTCGACGGCGGGCGATATGGACGTCGGCCCGTCCGGAGCGAGAGCTCGACGGCGGGCGATATGGACGTCGGCCTGGCCGAAGCGAGAGCTTAACGGTGGGCGACAAGGACATCGGCCTGGCTGGAGCGAGAGCTCAACGGCGGGCGACATGGACGTCGGCCTACTTAAAGGCCTCCGTGACCTTCCGAGATTGATAAGTGCTAGAGGAACAGTCGTGCCTATCGTCCGTCATTTCACTCCATCTAACCAAAGACCCCGAAGGCTTGCAGCAGACCAACCTCTCTAATCCTTCCCGTCTCGGTTTGACTTTTACGAAATAAGATTCGATATGTATTTTTATTCACGTATATGTACATATGCTTACGCCTATCCATTGTTTATTATTGTCATATATATATATATATTTCCACTATTATTATTATTTGTATGTGTATGCATACACATATATATGTATGCATTTAAAGCGAGATTGAGAGTAGGATTACCTGAGGCCGGTGTAGAGTGTAGGCCTAAGCATACTATCGCCTCGAGAGGTTGGTTTTTCTTTTGCTCTGGTCCCTGCCGAGCTCCTCGACCTTTCGATTTTTGTTGCTTGTCAGTCGGCGCTATCGACCTAATTTTATTTAGCCTAACTATTACAACATATTTAGGGCTTTCATCTTTACAATTTTTAACAAGTTTATTCACAAGCCTACACATTCACAATCAGGCCCAAGGCTTCTAAATTTGTAAGGAAAAGAAAATAAAATCGTAAGCCCACACCTTTACTATCAGGCCCAACTTTAATTGCATACTACATCTAGAATAGGTCCAGTTCCATAGCAGGTTAATTAGGTCGGCTTTTCCTTTCTCTCTCCCATTTCACACGCTTGCCGACAATTTCTCCACTTTATCTTCTTCTTTCTCTTTTTTATCTTAATTTTTTCTCGCAATCGCCGAGGTGCTTCGTGCCTGATTTTCCAGGTCTGTGTTATCGATTTGAGCACAGAAACCGAGGAAGCGATTGAAGGGGTCTGAGAATCGAGTCGCCGAGTGGTTGTCTGCGGTGGAGATCGAGGTTAGCGGCGACCTGCGAGTCCGGTGTCTGAATCTGAGGAGCGGGTGGCTCGGCGTCTGGGCCTGTTCGGTGTCTGGAGTTCGCATCCCAGCGGCGGCGGTGTCCTTATTTGAAGACGGCAGTGAACGGCTCGGCGTCCGAATTTGAGGGTGGCGCCGGCGGCTTGGCATCTGGATCTGAGGATGACCCCGGCAGCTCGACGTCCGGTTTTGAGGACAGCACCAATGGCTCAGCGTCCGGGTTCTGAGGATGGCGCCGGCAGCTCGGCGTCACGGTTTGAGGACGGGACCAGAGGCTCGGCTTCTGGATTCTGAGGATGACCATGGCAGCTCGGCATCCGGGTTTGAGGACGGCACCAATGGCTCTGCGTCTGGGTTTGCGGGCGGCACCGGGGGCGAAGGTTCGGCGTTCGTGGTGTTGGTGCGGGCCCCGGTCGCGATTAGGTGGTCGGTCCGGTCTGCCGCTGTATTTTCCAGGCCCATCGGCTGTGAGGGCTTGATTTCGGTCGGCGGCTGTGCAGCGCGCAGTTCAGGCCAGTGTCTGTGAAGCTTGTCGTCCGGTGGACGGGGGTGTATCAACCCGGCCTGCGGTTTTGGAGTTCGTCTATCCCTTCGATAAGAGAGGTCGACACATGCCAAAATTTAGCAGTCTGCGTGGTTGGATCGGCACGTGGTCGAGGTTGAGTCGACACATTATCGAGGGTGCGAGCTCGGCTACTGCTTTGGTGACCGGAGAAGTCGACGGCGGCGGCGAGATCGGCCTGGACTTTGGGGTGAAGTCGGCACCTGCGAGGTGTTGTTATCCGGTTGAGGTGAGGATGGCGTCAGCCCGGTGTTCTGAAGAACGCGTCTGCCCAGCACCTGCGGCGTGAGGTCGTCCACGGGCTGTAAGGCCGGAGATGTCGGGATCGGCACGTCGAGGTCGGCCCTTGTAACGCCCCAAATCAGAAATAATAGTAAGAACGGTTTCACTGCTCGACTATAAGTGAAATTCATAATTTTCATAAATTACCGAGTTATATTAATTTATGCTAAATGCTCAAATATGATAAATTATTCTTTGGAATAATTCTATATCAAGTATAAGTTAAGATTAATCCATTAATTTGGATTATTAAATAATAGCAAGTCAATTCGAGAAATTTTCGACTCCGAACCCTAGTTTGGTTCCGAGTTACTTTTCGAGTAAATTCCGAGCCTAGCCAAATATTGGTATTTATTATACTTAGAATAATTTTCTAAGTGTGTAAAAAAAAATAAAAACACCAAAGTCAAGTTTTGATCATTTATATATGTTAGATTATTCGGTTATTATGTTCGAAATATTTTCGTTTGAACCGAACCATTGAACTCTAGAGCAATGCCGCACCATAGTGACCAAAGTCAATTCTTTTCCTTAGCCATATTTTCCATATGTGGGTATAAGAAGTATATTAAGTGTATTCTATGCATAGTTAGCACTAAAAATGATTGGTAAAGTCAAACCATCATTAGCAAATTTAATATGCTTAATGATCATATAATGGGTTCATTATTCTATTCAAGATGTATGTTTTTGTCCCCACATTTCCACTCCTCACCTAGTGCACTCCGCAGAGCACTTTCCCAGCCCCTCAGTGCTCTTCATGCACACTCAAACACATGCAAAAAGCTGGCATTGCCACCACTTGAGCATAGAAAATGAGTTTCTTAAGAAGTGTTCCCCACATTGTCTCCTCTTGTGCATAATTTCTCACGCCCACTATGAGACCTCTCTTAAGTCATTATTTAGCTGAGAACACTCTCATTCCACCCTTATCAATTTCGTGAGATATCCCCTCCAAACTCCCTCTCCAAAACCAAAAGTCGATAACACACAAACTTAATGCCGAGAGTGAAACAAGGTGTTACCCGAGTGCATTGTTGAGTTTTATTCAAGTTCTAGCCAACTATTCTCTACACCAATAGCATTATATCCTCCTCATATCATTCCTCTCTCACCCTAATCAAGTTGGAAGGCTTTAAAGTTCAATAAAATTCAATTTTTCAAGCTACAAAGCCGCAGCAACAAGAACCGAACGAGAACCGAGCACACCCTTTTTCTTTTCGGTTTTTGAGATACTTTAAGAGGTTGGTTTGCTAATTCCTTTTTAGGACATGTTATATATGAGATGGGATGAGAATGCTATATTTTTATGCCCCTTATGTTCAGTTTTGAAGTAGTTTTCATACATGCTTAATGTTAATTACTCCCAGTTTTTCTTGCATGTTCTATACGCTATGTTTTCGAACATTTTTACCTATGCTATGAAAATTTTGGGAATGTGTGAATTTTATGACTATTTATTGTGGAAAATAGAAATTCATAGGATCAAGAATTAGGTCAATTGGCTTAGTATAACTCGAGTTCTTGATTCTTAAAGTTAAACATGCAGGATGAGCTTTACATGCGCGAATTTCAGTTGCGACTTCAAACGCGTAGAACTCGAGTTATACTCAGGATAAAATTATGTAATTTTTATGGACATGTTTATATATGAGCTGAGAGCCTCCATACCAAATTTCATGATTTTATCATAAGAAATGAAGGAGTTATAATTTTTAGATCGCATGCGTGTCGAACTAATTTTATGTGCGAGAGTACTCTGTCCACATGCAAGCTATGAATGCGAAACTTTTATGTAAAATCCTCTTATAAGTGGTGAACATCATGACTGAGTTTAAGCTTAAAATGTTGATCATGTGATTTTACAAAATTGTTGCAATAGACATGACTTAGTATAAGTTAAGTGGCCGGAGAGGGTCACCTTTCCGCCCTGACCTGCAGTTCGAGTCCTTTTTGATTCGTGATATTCGGTCCGAGTCTCTTTTCGGAATTTTAGTATTTTTCCAAGCCAGTTTAGTCCAGTTTAATTGAGCAGATAAAATCGAGCATTTTAGCATATAATTTAATATTCCGAGCATTATACTTAGCATTATTTTGCTTAAAAATTTATGTAGCATAAGGAGAGTCGAGCCTCCGACCGCTACTCCAGTCAGCATTTGCATCAGTTCAGTTATCAGGTGGGGGTCATGTACTGGATTCCACATTATATATAATATCTGTACCATGGCAGAGGTATGTTCGAGACAGTTAGTTCACCAGGTGATTGGCCGACCTAAGGGCCTTTCGAGTTTTACCTGGTACCGGTGGAGGCCGAGGGCCTTAATATCCCATCGGGGTGTGCACACGAGCGGCCGAGGCCGAGGGTCTTTTGACCGCAGTACAGAAAGAAAAGAAAAGTTTACAGTTCAGCTCTTATATATTTATGTTCATGATACGTTATTATACATGATGTCTTATTTAGTACTGGTCTTTGCGGAGCATAGTAGTTTGCTCACGCCCCCATTGTGTTTTTCAGGAGACGGAGTCGAGCGTGTCGGGTGAGCTATGCGTGGTGAAGCGTGGTCATGACAGCGAGGACATTTTATGCACATTTTATGTCCTTATTTTTATGATCATGTATTCATTTAGATATGTATGCATGTACTCTATGTATTTCTGTATTTCGGATGCTTCCGCTAGCAGACTTTAGACTGTGCGAGACAGTTCAGACATTACATGCTTAATTCCATTATTCATAGCGGATAGTTTGGTTGCATGTTTTATTTATGTCTGTGAGCAAGTTAAGTAAAGTTTTTATCTGTGACATCCTGCAACAAGTTAGTGTTTTCGATAACCAAGCTCGCACCACCTTTCGAAAACAAAAGCGAAAAATTTTACTCTGATTTTTCAAAGCTAGTAAGGCGGGGACCCACAGAAGCTGGTATCAGAGCGCAGAGTGCGTTTCTGTATACTTTCAAAGTTTAGAAAAGCATGACCACGCCACGCTCATCCCGCACCGACTCCGAGGTAAGTCTCCTGCCTCAGTTTAAGTTTTGCAAGTGCTTGATTCAGTTCAAGTATGGGGCCTAGATAGCTATCCTTCTATAAGAAAGAAAGAACTCTAGAGGGAGAACTCTAGAAAGATACGCTAAGACGAGAACTCTAGACAGAACTCTAGAACAGCTAAGTCCAAGGACTCTAGACTAAGTCAGAACTCTAGTATGAGCCAGAACATAGCAGTTTAAGCATACCGGAACTCTAGCCAAGCTAGGTGTTTTCGGATATTATTTCGTTATTATTCCAAGTATAGTATGGCTATTTCTTAATTGGCTATACAAATCAATTCAAGCGTTTATTCAGAAGGCCAATCAATCAGCTTGAGAGACAGAAACTTTCACATCTTTGAAAGTCAAAGGTAGATAAAGATTCAAACACATTGTTGAGGATTTTATTATTATTATTAAGAAGCTAGTATAAAAACATTAGAGGATGGAGATACAGACAAGAAAAAGTAAATCCTCAACTAATACAAGATTATATTGCATAAAGGGAGGGTGCGTCTCAAGAGCACAAAACTCCATAACTCTGCCACGCACGATGGTTATAGGTTCACAATGAGAGATCTAAAGGATCAAAGGCTCGCTTGCGTTTGAATCCTTGAGTTTCCACATAATCTTGAACTGTTGAGATGTTGTCTTGAAGCTTCTTGATAAGTTCAGCGGATGTATTAGCAGACTTGAATATTTCTCTTTGTAAAGGAGATATAAAAGTTTGATACACTCCTTCATCTAGAAATCTAAGCAAGTTGTGGAAAAAGTTACTGAAATTCAAGAGACCAATAGGTTTGGTATGAAATTTCACTTCTGCCCAAGTAGCAAGGGTGAAGATAGTCATTAAAGTTCCATAACCACCAGGAAGAACGATGAAAGCATCGCAACCAGATACCATAGCCATCAGACATTCATAAATAGAAAGAGTTATCATCAAAGTAGCAGAATCTTTGACAATCTTTGATGAAGTGATACAAAAAGGGAGGATACTTCTCACCTCAATATCAAAGCATTTAGCAGCCATCAAAAGGTTATCAGAGAAATAGAAACTAGTCCCTCCATAAAGTATGTTGATCTTGTGTTTTCCCAACTCTTTCACAAGTTGGCTTACAACATAGATATTATGTGGGAAGTTTATGAATCTGGAACCACCAAGAACACACACAGTTCTGATTGGTTGAAGAAGTTTGCTACCTTGAGAAAACTCAGAAGTAGCCATTTGTTATGAGAGACACTTGGCTATAGAGAGAGAGTCGCCTTTCAAAGAAGAAAAGTGC